ACACAAGCAACACATTCATGATTTAAACAAAAATTAATTTGGAACATTTTTAATGAAAAACTATATTTAGTAGGGTATATTACCTCCATGGCCTGCAATCAAACAAGCATACTTTGGATTAAGGCAGCAAATTCTTCCAGAGGAATTTGCTCCAAGTCATTACTGATCTTAAACATGGTTATAACATCCAGGAATAAATATATATTAATAGAGACATGCATGCTCATTAGATTGTCTAAACTCCATGGAGGCTGTGGTAATAAAGAAATCTTAATTTATGGATTTGACCGTTACTTGATGGAAATTCATTTTATGTAACAATAAAACACTAAAAACTTTGTTTTCAAACTTCCACAAAATTTATTTTAAGTCATTATCACTACAGCTGTTTCGGCTGATTGCCTTTCTCAAGTGATCTATTTTTGGTTTGGGTTTACAAATTTATAGTCTCTAATGAAATAGGTTGAGAAGGGGAGAACTGTTTGTCTCAAGTTGGTCATTCAGAATTATATCTGTGTTTTTTAATTTGTTAATTTCCATAGATTCTAACAAAGATATCTTAAGGCCTTTATTTTGAATGTGAAGAATTTTTAATTTGTCATTAATAGAATGATTATGATCTAGAAGGTGAAGTGTGTATGTCGAATCTGTTTTTCTATTCTTGAAAGCCCTTTTATGTTCTGCTATTTGTTTATCAAAGTTTCTACCAGTTTGACAGATGTAAGTTTTTGGGCAGTCGCCACATTGAAGTTTGTACACACCACTATTTAAGTGTTTTTTTATCTTAATCTTTATTTTAATCTTAATTTCACCCAAGTAATCCACTGTTATTTTTGCAATGTGTGGATGAGTATTATCTTACAAGTTTTCTCAAACAGATGGGGTAAATGGCACTATAGGTACATACACTAAGACACATACTCTGTATAAGTCTAGGGAAATGCCTACCCACACCATGATTCCATCACATTCAACTCTCGGAGTAAAACATTGGCGATAATGTTGATACGTTCTCCAAATCTTAGGCCGCCCATCTGATGAGTATCTGTTAACTCTTAATTCATCTATGAAGAACACTGCACCCCAATTAAGACATTCCTGAGCCAAGTGTAAATGCTGCCTCCAATGTTCTGCTATTATTGGAGGTATCCTGGACCTTAATCCATATTTATTTATGTGTCTTATCATATTTATTTAATCATAGAACAAGTACTGGTGCTGATAATGTGCAATTGCTTAATGCTTGCAATCTAAAAAAGTGATATTCAACTTGATTCATGGTTCTTCATCTACCTTGACCTGGCCTACTCACAGACCACTAATAACAGGTAATCTGTGGGCCATAGAGAAATTGTCTTTGCTGTGGGTGGGCCTACTGGTGTATTATTCGCGATAGCCAATTCCGACAGGGGGCGCTGAAGATTTCAAAGATGGACGATAACTTCGGGAAAACAAATTATTTTGTCATTTGATCTCTAAGCTATAAATGGTTTAATATAAATCATTTACACGTGTGTTTTACCAAAGTAAAAGTTGTAGGAGTATGTTCTTCAAACTTTATTTTTTTGTCAATCGGGTTTATACATAGGGTAATTGACTCCCAAACCTAAATAAAATTAAATATTTGTTTTTCTACAGTATGTCTGAAACACGGGAAGTAAAATATACATTATCTTAATTATTTATATGGTTGCAAGATCGGCAGAGATCTTTAGTTGATTGTGAGGCAGTTTTTGGAGCTGGCCATGTTACATTTTGTAAAGTACGCCTACGTTTTCTACTAATAAAATTATGAGACCAGGGCAATTTAGCTGATGGAAGAGCATTTTTCTTCAGTCTTCTAAATTTAGTTTCAGGTGTTACTATAAAGTAAATTAAAAATAAATAATATTTTAATCAACACTTGGAAAGTAATTGTTTTCAGTAAAATGTAAACTGCACAGTCACGTATTTGGTTATATGTTTGCCAATTCACAAAATGCATTGCCAAACTTTTCTCATATTCTCGTCCAGGTCCAGCGGAAACTTATGTATGAAATTTTTTTTTGTGAACTATAATAGGATAAATATTGAGGAACACTGCAATAGTTATTTAAAGTCGAAGTTATTGTTAATTACAATATAAACCGGTCGCTAATATGTATACAAAATAATGACAATTTCAATATTTTCCCGAAGTGGATGCTTTTGAAATCTACCACCAGGCGTCGCCCACTTTGCGGTTCCTCGCCAATTATGTTTCCTCAAATCTCTGTTTTGCATCAAACAAATGCCCCACCAACAAATTTATTTAACAAATACCCCACCAATTATCCTGTAAAGCAACAGCTTGTGCTACTTCTGGTGTCATAATTTTTTATTGCATTTTTTGAAAAGGAGAAAAAATAACTAAAGGCAAACTTGCACACTTATAATATGAAAGCATTAACACAAAGGTTTTGTACAGTTATTACCAAAAATCATGTAAACAGGTTCAAAGAGGAAAAAAATCTTATCGCTAATAAAACATAAAATTAAATAAGTTTTTGTCTAAAAACGAAAAAATATTATATAAATTGACAGATGTTCATACTTTTGTAGATCATAATATCTGAGACACTATAGATTTTCTCAGTGACTAGTCTGTACAGGGTAAATACACAAAATCGATGCCATACTTCTTTGCAAACTTGTATTAAAATAAACGTCACTTCTTACTACTTAGCCTAATCCATCTTTTGTGTTGAGGGTAGCTTAAGTACTAATGCCCACTAATGACTCTTCCTTGCGTCCTTCTGTCAGTGGTTCTTAAACATAAATATTATTTGCTACAACATACTTTTGAGTTAAATTAAAATAAAATAGAAATTAAGATTTTTTTAAAATTTTTCAAACTTTTATTTATGTTAATTCTACATTATGTGCTAGCGATACAAACCATTTGTTTATAGATATAAATAAAATCGAATAAAATATAAAGAAACATTTTATTTATGTATTGTTCAAAAGCTAAGGGTGAAAGGACTTTTAAAAACCGCACTATATATGTTGGCAGTAACAAAACGTAGAAATATCCGACAATAAAACTAATAAATAAGTTGAAAACAAAAGAAGTCATTGTATTTAATTTCGTGTGTAAGTAATCGTAATTGTACACCATTATATTTAGTTCCTTTTTCTGTCAATCGCTGTCACATTTAGTTTCTGCTTAACTATCGTCACTGTCATCACTATCTTCGTTATTTATATTTATAATAGTTGGTTCGATATCATCCAACAAATTGTAAATTTCCCACATTTTTTTTTGTTGCTATTACGTGGTTTACGTAGTTTTTCCACTTCTCTGGCGCAATGACCTGGTACGCTGCTGTAATTAAATTTCGCATTTCAGCTTTTTGGCAATATCTTCTATTATGTACCTGTCATATTTTGCTTTGAAGGTTTGACTACATCAATTAACTCACATTTTAGGTAGTCTTCTTAACTATTCGGAATTTGTTCTGACTGTTCTACTCTGATAGGAGACATTGTCCATTACCACAACAGTTTTTTCTGGCAAATTTAGCATTAAGTTATTGTCGAACCAATCTTCGAAGGTCGGTCCATCTATTTCGTCGTGGTAGTCCTGAGTATTTTTCTTTGCCAAAACCGTGAGCTCTGCTCCATCAACAAATCCACTGGTAGATCCTACGTGCTATAAAACGAACCGTGCACCACGAGCTGTTGGAGCTTTTAATCCTGTTGTCAGACCACGAACAAAAGCATCACGATGAGATGTAAGTGTTTTATCAACCCATTCTTTTTTCACACTGTGCCCGATATTTACCCATGATTCATCAAAATACACTATGTTGTATCCTTCTGCGCGTAAATAACGATGACGCCACGAGATGATTTCTGGTTTTTCAATCAAAATTGAATTTCTGCCACGTTTTATAAACACAAAATCCATATCACTCACCAAGCGATATAGCGTGGCCCGTGAAAAGTTGGGCAAAGTTTCTTCGACATTTACAAGAGCTAATATGGTGTTTATTGTTGGTGGTATGTTGTCACGAAAAAATTGATGAACAATTCTACGAATTTGGCTCCTGACACCTTCATCGTACTTGTTGTCACGAGAATTACCAACCTTTAGCTTCTTGTGCCTGCTCTTTGGAGATTGTAATCCAGCAGGTGATGAATATTTCTGTCGTATGCGAAACGGAGTCTTTGCAAACACCACCCATTTCTGACACTTTCTTAATTACACTTGATACAGAATCGTTGTTATCCTGATTAAGATGATAATTAATAACATTCATTAGTATCAGCTTTTTTGAAAGTTTCAGAGCTTTTCTACGTTTCCATTGAACAATTTCCTTTCATTTTGCGGTAAAAATTCGGCGTCAAATATAATAATAGCCAACAACAGAAAATAACAATAATTGCCAAAAGCAAATCACAACAGCCACCAACAAATAATAACAATAAAAAACAGTAACAGTACATCCAAGATGGTACAAATAAACGTAACTCGAATATGTTTACGCGCTCCAAAGAACAAATAAAGACTAATTAAGACCCTGCATGCATGAAGCTTTTAAATATATTTTGTACAAAAATTACTTTGATTGCTTCTCAAATACTGAATAACTTAGAAGAAAGTATTTGAAAAACTTTGAAACAAATGTTTATTTAATGGACATTTTATTATACTACTGCTTAATAGAAAATAAAAGTTGATAAGTTACTATTAGAAATAAATAATGTACAATATTATGCAAAATTATTAGCAAACGATATTTGTAAATTATATAAAATTGTACGTTAGGACTTGTTGAGAACACCTAGTTTATTCCGTTTATTTTGAAAGATAGACAATAGAGAACGCCATCGCTCACTGCATAAAACTAGCAACGTCTTGACCAAATTCCCATAAGGTTAGTATTGCATATCTTACCCTGTACAGACTAGTCACTTTGAGACAAAGTATAGTAGTACTAATTTAGTATGATTTTGAGCTTGAAATAAAAGAATTTTATTATTAAATAATTTATTTAAACTTTATAATAATACAAAGGTAAGGATAACAAGGAGGTAGGTCTTTATTTGTAACATGCAACCATAAATAAATAGTTAAATCAATAAAATTATTTGTTAACAGTAATAAATCGTTTGGTTAAAATAAATTAATCCAGTTTACAGTAAAATATTTCACAAAAACTTTGTTCAAAATTTGAGCACCATTTACTAAACCCGTTAATTAAATCAATAAATTCCTGGAAGATAAATAGAAAAACTTGTATCAATAGTGTATTTTAATTTCACACTCTACCATGATGTTGCAAATAAAAAATAATTAGTCTTCAATTTGTTTTAAATAATATAATAAATTACCTAGGACTCAAATTACATGGAAAAATGCCACTGGCTAATTTTGAACAAAAGTGTTATCACATATCAGATAAATATAACTAAGTAACACATTTCACACAATAAACAGTTGAATACTGATAATTTTAGGTACCCACTTACCACACAGTGCTCCTTGATGTCAATAAACGATTACCCTATATACAGAGAATCTATTTATAAGGTAGAATTGAATGTTTAATGTGAATAAGAACTAATTTATTGGGAATTGGGTAAAAGGAACTGGGGTAGTTGGGTAGTTTATAGAGCAGCACTATAATTTATACTTTGCATTTATATACACAATTTAAATTCATGTTGGCAATATCATGTCATGTTTGCAACATTAAAGATTGATCTTATGCTGTTTCACTGTATACTTACTGATATCTAGGAACACTGGATATAAATATTACAAGAGATATTATTTTTACATGTATATTATTAAAAAAATTAAGATTTTTAATCTTAACATTAAAATTATATTATGTGTTTATATTTATATTGAGCATGTGACATATTCATAATATGACCTGTGGGAAAAAGCAAATAAAAAAAATAGAGCAATTTAATTTAACAAAATGTACTTAACTGAGGAATTGTGTAAGGTACAGTGATTTGATCCTACTAACATATTTGAGAGTACTAACGGGACTGTTAGTATGAGTTTCTGATCGCAAGGCTGCTGTGATTTAAAGAAGAAAGCAGAAATTAACATGGAAATGGATATGAATCTATTGTAGCATGCCAAATATGGTTCATTCTGGATAATTAGGACGATTTTGTTTCACTAATGGCTCTGGAAATACCAAGTGACTGTTGATCTGCATCTCTAGTTACAGGATTACTATATTTTAAAGAAGAAAACAAAATTTAACATGGTAATAGACACGAATTTACTGTAGCATGCCAAATTATACTCCGTTATAGCTGATAGCCAAGAAGCGCTACGACTACTAATAGATATAATAAACACTGAAGGAGAATGACTGGGGTTGAAGATTAATATAGGCAAGACGAATGTAATGGTGGTTAGTAGAACACGAAATATGGAATTAAATATTAGAGTCAACAATAAGAACATCCAATATCCAGATATCTCGGTAGTTGGATAACTGAAGATCTAAATCCAGACATAGAGATACGTAGCAGGATTGAGCAAGCCAGAACAGCGTTTACTAATATGAGAACCTTGCTAAGCAACAGCAGCCTTAACTTAACGCTTCGATATCGCTTTGTAAAATGTAACATTTACAACATACTGCTATATGGTGTAGAAACCTGGACCATAAAGGCCAATGTGATGAACCGATTGGAAATGTGAATATTTAGAAGACTACTTAAAATTCCCTGAACAGATCACACAACAAATGTCGAAGTATTAAATCGAATGGCAGAGAACGAGAATTGCTGCCAATAATAAAAAGAAGAAAAACTGCTTATCTGCGTCATATATTTCGAAATTCCAAGTACCAGTTCTTAAAGCTTATTATGGAAGGGAAGATAGAAGGAAAACGGGGCATCGGAAGAAAGAAATACTCATGGCTTAAAAACATAAGGGATTGGACAAACCTCGATGCCCATGCACTCTTTAGAGCCACACAAGATCGAGAGGAGTATGTCAGAATTGTCGCAAACATCCACTAATTGGATAGGGCATCATAAGAACAAGAATATGGATAATTAGGACGATTTTATCCTGCTTGCAACTGCTACCAGACTGGTAATCAATGTTTCTGGTCACTACATCGCTTAATTTTAAGGAAGAAACAGTTCATGAGTTAAAAATAATACGGATGGAAAATGCTCAGGATAAAAATATTTGGAATGAGGGACCAAAACTACGACTGACTAATAGATAAAATAAAGATCATAATAAAATAACAACGCTGTATGCTCAATATAATAATAAACGCAATTCTCGTGAAAAATTTAGCTACTAGGTACCACTTTGAACTACCTAAGCCTTATTCTTGATCCAATCACAAACCATATCACCAATTTCATGACTTCTGTTTAACACAAAAGCATGATTGAAGCTAGTTACCTCGGCATCGATATCTGGAATATCTTTCTTAAGGTTGGTATAATACTGTAGAGGAGTCCATCCATCGGTTTCACCATACAACAACTTCACTTTCTTTATATTCTGTTCCAGACTGTGTGAGTTTCTTTCCAGTACTTGGTCCATTTCTTCGTAGGCGAGGAAGAACACGCGTTTCAATATAGCAGGCCTTATCAATGATCGTATAATATCACAGTTATGTTTAGGCATGCCGACAATGGTCATGTAGCCGTATAAAAGAGCAGTTTGTATAAACCGGGGAAAAATAGCGAACAAACCAGACAGAAGAACTACGAACGATATTATACTTCTCAGAAATCCGTTCAAGAAAAGCCCGTTCGGAGTTTTAGCCATGTATTCTATTGTAGGAAAGAGCAAATATGCCTTGTTGATTTTTTCCGATATTGTAGGTTTGTCTAATAATTCTACTGCCATATAAGATCCTATGGAATGACCAATGAGGTGAACTCTTGCATTTTTTGGGACGTATTTTTCAAAAAAGTCAACCTGAAAACAAAAATAATGTATATATTTCAGTACCAGCATATTCCCAAACACTTTAGAGTGATTCTGAGATCCTGATAATGCGTAGTAAAGAAAGATAAACACGTATTTCTTTATTGCACATGATCAAGACGTCTAAAGAGAACGGGATTGTGTTTTATTTGGGGTGGTTGGGGCACATGTTGTAGATGCCAAAGATGTTGTAGATGCCAAAGAAAGGGGAAGAAAGTCAAGAAGGAGATAGACAGTCTTAGGGATAATTTCATAAGTGATAATTAAGTACATACCTTATTTTTTACTTGTCCATCAAGACCGTACAACTCCTTATTTTTGTGGTATTTGGGCACTCCTTTCAAGTTTTCGATCGTGTAATTATGTCCGGCATGTCCTACACACCAAACTGAACAATTCAAATTATCATTTATTCTTCTGGCGAATTTATCGTAAAAGGAATTCAATCCTGGATTTCCAGGAACGATAATTACTAAATTCTCGTTGTCGTCAAATGTTTCTCCTACTTTCTTTCCGATTGTGGACACTTTTGTCGATACTTTGTTTAATTCGATGAAAGTTTCTGTGATGGGCTGCATTTTTGTGATGTATTGGAAAAAACTGAAAATAGTTTATATATAGTTTACTGAAGATAACACTTAAAATAAGAGTAGATGTTGCATTATAAAAAAGAAACTAATAAAAATTTAAGAAAAATAAATTACAGCTCATACTCTTGACTGAAATGAAGAATAGGTGTGTCAAAACCCTAATTTTGGTTTAGCCAATAAAAATCTTCGCATTTCTATTTTGGTGATTTATTCTGAGATGTCGCTATAGCATCCATATTGAAGCTATTTTATAGACTACATTATAATGCGCTCCCTAACTTTCGCGTGATTGGTTGGTGGGTCCCAATTTAAAAATTGGCGGGTTTCATGTTTATTAAAATGACAATAAAATTGAGGTATTGTGGCACAGTATATCGCTAAACAATTTATTAGCAATATATTGTGATATTGGCACAAAGCGGATGATATTCACATTTTAGGATTAAGCTGACTAGTACAGTTTTATTAGAAATTAAAATTTATTTTTCTTTTGACATTATGTAGGTAAAATTAATTTCTGACATTGTGTTTATTTAATTTTGATATGCTAGTGATGCTTTTTTTATTAGATATATAGATATTGTTTTAATTTTTTTGTTTAGGTAATTTTTTTATTAAGATTTAGAGGTTCCTCCTATTATTTTGATTTCTAGAACATTCGTTACCATTATTATTCTCATTAGCTTTCTCTATGTGGAATCGGCTTCTCTAAGTATTTTCCTCTAAACTTTTCGGTTCTCTTCCAGGGACTAAGTACCTCTCCGCTTTTTGTATGAGATTCTGGTTTTTCAGAAACATGTAATTTCTGTTCATCCCCTTTTTTACTGCCCTACATTCAATACCATACATCATCGCTGGTCTAAAGGCAGTCATATACAATTTAGGAGAGCTTTAGAGGGGTTTTCCTTCGCCATTGCACCAATAACGGCCCCCCTCCTTTGATTTCCCAGATTTTTAATAAAGAATAAAGACATTTTAGATATAGCTATTTAGTGTTTTATTTGGTTTGCAATCGTTATTTCCAGTAAACCTCCGCTTCATTTTGTTGACAATGACAATTTTTCATAGCACTCAATTCACAATATATCTTTTTATTATCCTACATTTGTGGTAAAATCTAACAGAATTCAGTGTAAGGTTCTAAAAAATGCAAATGGATAAATGTCAATTTGGATTTAGGCAAGGCAGGTCTACAACAAGCAATTTTTATTAAAAGAGCTAATTTAACAATTTAGAGTGAATTTACAGTGTATTATTAAACTTGAGAAAGCACATGCTGAAAATATCAGAAACCAACTGTGGCAGAGATTAAGTAGGAAAGGAGTGCCGGCTGAATATGTGAGTGTTATTTGTGCTGGATTAGATAACAACTGAATCTCCTGGGTATTAGTAGAAAAGAGTAGCGGAGACAGGCCCTTGAAGAAAAATGGTTAAAATTAAGTTGGATACAAACAAAATATTTAGAATATTCTTTTAAAGATGAAATTTCAAGACCAGATAGAGTAGTTGGCTTGGATAGACAAGAACTCATAAAAGATGATAATGTTCGGCTTTTAAGATTGGTATTACCGTTTTATCTCTAATATTTCAATTAAAGGTAAAGGAAAGAGGCAAATTGAGTGATGTATGATATAAAAGGTACCAAGAAAACTAAAAGGTAAATTGTATAGGACTGCCTTTAGACCAGCTATGATGTATGGTACTGAATGTAGGGCAGTAAAAAAGGTGATGAACAGAAATTACATGTTTCTGAAAAACCATAATCTCATACAAAAAGCGGAGAGGTACTTAGTCCCTGGAAGAGAACAGAAAAGTTTAGAGGAAAATATTTAGAGAAGCCGATTCCACATAGAGAAAGCTAATGAGAATAATAATGGTAATGAATGTTCTAGAAATAAAAATAATAAGAGGAACCTCTATCTTAATAATCTTAATAAAAGAATCTTAATAAAAAATTACCTAAACAAATAAATTAAAACAATATCTATATATCTAATAAAAAAAGCATCACTAGCATATCAAAATTAAATGAACACAATGTCTGAATTTAATTTTACCTACATAATGTCAAAAGAAAAATAAATTTTAATTTCTAATAAAACTGTACTAGTCAGCTTAATCCTAAAATGTGAATATCATCAGCTTTGTACAAATACCACAATATATTGCTAATAAATTGTTTAGCGATATAATGTGCCACAATACCTCAATTGTCATTTTAATAAACATGAAACCCGCCAATTTTTAAATTGGGACCCACCCACCAACCAATCACGCGAAAGTTAGGGAGCGCCTTATAATGTAGTCTCTATTTTATTGTTGCTTCTTTTGACGGAAAATATTAGATTAGCTTCTATACTAGTCGCTCTGATGATTCCTGGTAGGATGAAATACGTGTAAGCGAATATACAGAGAATATTGTCCAAGAAATTAAATCACAGCGACTAAGATGGGCAGGCCACGTGCACAGACTGCATAACAAAAGACTTGTAAAACTGGTATGAGAGGAGATTCCCACAGGCAAAAAACCACTAGGACGTCCCAGAATGCGATGGAGAGATAACATCCAAGCAATCTCCGGAAAATGAACATTCCATTTGATCCTAGGTTGATGGAAGACCGAACAAATTTAAAAAAAGTTGTACAGTCAGCCAAGACCCAGCCAGGGTTGTAGCGCTACGTGATGATGATGATGAATATACAGTGGTACTATACGTGAAATTAAATCTTAACTGTCTTTTCTTTTATTTCGGTTTACTCTTTATGACTACAAGAAACCAATTCACCAAGGATGTTTGTTTAGATGAGGAGATATGTTGTGGAATGGAACTTATCGATTCTCCATACCTCTCTTACACCTTTAGCATCGTCTGTTTTGCCTTGCAATTTATAGAAGGCACATATTAAAGCAAAAAAATCTGAATTTTGGTTTCGTCAATACAAATCTTGGCATTTCTACTTTGGTGATTTACTAATATTTAAATTTGCCCTGAATAGCCCTTCTTTCTCATCTTTTAATACCCACCGTTTGATCATGGTGATCTCCTCGATACTTTGGTTTGGTGTCGTTTTTTTACTTCGATGTCGAGTAAAATCAACTTATGTACAAGCTTTTAGTCCAGTCACTGAAGGTTTTTACTCCGATTTCGTTGAACCTCCATCGATTTTCATGACAATTGGTGAGTAGTTAGAGAATACCTTAAGAAACAAAAGTGACATGGTGTCAACTTGCGCTTTTACCCTGGGAGTGGATGGCACCCCTTCTCGGGGATGGAAATGATTTTATTAAAATAACCCCAGGAATCGATAGAGGGATCAAATCTAAACAAAATTTATCTTATAAAGATATTAAAATTAATCAATGTTTTTTGAGTTATTGAAGATCAAAGATTTTGATTTTTCGTGAAAATGCATGTTTTAAAGCGGTTTTTCATAAATACCTCAATAACTAGTTTTTATAAAAAAGTTGTCATTACCAAAATTGAAGCTAATAAAAAATTAATTACATTCCTTGCTTGAAAACCTTTTAATAACGGGAAAACAATGCATTTTATAAAATATACTTATTGAACAATTTTCAAAGTACTCAGAAATATCTATAAAATGAGCTCTAGAAGAAATTGATAGCATCAAAATTAAGCACCACTAGGAAACTAAGTTCCTGCAGCTGGCTGTATACCATGTATCACAAATTTTTTTTATTTAAAATCCGTTATAAAAGGTATATAATAAAATACCCAAACAGGCTATATCACAATTACAGAACGTTTTCGGAATGTAAATTTCATCAGTGAAATGGCGACCCAGAAATAAAGCCAAGAAGCGTGTTCCTGCAGATATTTCAACAACTGCAACTAAATCAAAACCAGCGTTGATGCCCATTCTTGCATACAAGAAGTGGACAATGCGTATAGTCTTATTGAAAAGGGCATGTCTCGGAACAAGTTCTACTCTCCTCTTGGATTAATATGCATCTTCAAAGATTTGAATCGTAAGCACCCAACCCGAGTACTTAACATGAGAGACAGCGATATTCTTGACTTTGGTTCATCCTCTGAAGTATTAAACTTTCAGTTGGTTCCATTCTTCCAAGTTTCAGTTTTAGGATTCACATTCAAATCCCTGCATTTGATCTCATTCAAAACCTCTCTTTTGGAAGAGAAGGCAGTGATCGTAATCTTGAGGTTTGCTGTATCCGCGTTCAAGAAAGGAATAGTGACACAAACAAGCAAGCAAAGAGAAGCCGAAGCAAACACACCAATCTGGAAATTGATAAAACCCAAACACCTAGTGAACTCCAAGGCAACACTCTCAGCGGAAAAAATAAAGGACATCAAATAAATGTTAAAGTTTATGCTCTTGCAAGACAAAGCGTTCTACACCACATTAAAACTGTGAAAATGTTGTGGTGAAACTGTGAAAATGTTGTTGTGTTGTTGTGTAAATGACATAGGTCAAAAACACTTACTGTACCTTTCTTTAAAATAAAGTCATAGTAATTGAAATTTATACCAGTGTAATTATTTCAGAATCCTACTAACTATACCTATGGATCAGACTAAATAAATCATTTACTTTGGTATGAGAAGGTTCCAGCTACCAGCTAGAACCGTGTCACACATACAATGTAAAGTTTAAAAAGTGACAAGGTTCCAACTGTAAACAAAAAAAAAAAAAAAATGTAAATATCTTACCAAGTAGCATTTTTTTCTTTTTTACCAGCCAAAACCTTTTTATGTATATAACTAAGAAGTGTGTACACAAGAATCAAACAATATATCAAAAGCACTTGTGTGGTGTCAAGGTTAAACTTTGGAGACTGTTTTCTCAAAAATAGGTTGTGGTTAGTTGGAACCCTGTCATTCTAGCCTAACGAATTGTAACAAAAATAATGTAATAAAAAATAAACAACAAAAAAGACAATTGAACTATAATCGGACAATTTATCAATTAAATGTGACTGATCTACAAATTGAACTAAGACCTAACGGCAACCGTGTTAAATATTAGAAGTAAATTCTTACCGAGGTCATTTTTATTGTGTATGCTTCCTCCATGTAACTAAGTGAAAAGGTAAGTTCCATAAAATTTGCCTCCGTAACAATATAAATTGGTGCGATTTACGAGGGTATAGTAAGTTCATTGAATAATTTGCGAAAGAATGGGAATGAGATAAATATGATATTTTAATTTATTCGTTCAACATTCTATATGTGCATAGGCGTAGTGAGTTCTATTTCTTAAGAATTTATTAAATAGACTTTATTATTAACTTTAAAATAGTTTTGAGGTAAGTAAAGTAAATTTGAGGTAAGTTTATATAAATAAACAAAGAGAAATTTGACAATTTATAAGATTGGATTAAAAACACATACATTAAGAATAATTTACAATCAAAAAGATTTTTTTTCTCATTTTCAATTAAAACAGTAACAATTTTTAATAAAGAAACATATTGTATCTTAAATTTAAATTACATTTTAATTTACACATAATACATCTTTTACATAAATTAACAGTATTACTTTTGCACATCCTACATTCTTGCACCATCGTCGCAATATTGTCGATTCTGGTTTCATCTGGTAAAGTAAATTTAGATTGATGTCCATGTACTAAGTTTGACACTGATGTAGCGGATTCCTCACTATTATAAATTATAAATATAAATCTATGTCGGCTCGTGCTTTCTCTTATAATGTGCACTTCTTTAACCTCATCCTTTGACCAATACATATTAACTTGAAGCAGAGTATGAACCACATAATCTGCATATGCCGATAAATTTTTTAAATCTGTCATTCATTTCAAAATCTTAACGGTTATTCCGCGGTGCATAAATATTTGTAAAATATAGAATGCTCTCAATTACTTGTTTATCAAAAGAGAGTGAAAAAACTTCAATATATGAATTGCCTCCATGGTTGGCTTCTATATTGTCTAAATATCAATCAGACTGATGTTGAATTACTATTGAGTGCGAAGGAGTATCTGTTGTTAACTTGAGACAAATTTGGATTTACTACTTTTGCCTATTTTTTTTTTCTTTTAGCGTTTTATCTGTGGTTCAGAGAATTTCCAATCACTTGTATTGCATATGTACTTGCAATATACGATTTTATTGATTCTGTACAAATAATATTATCATCAATGTCTTCTACATAGGAAACTTCATTTAATTCTTAAGCAAATAAACCAAATTAAGTGAGTCAGCAGTTTTACAATCTGTCTTCTTCTAACAAAGCTATTAACTCTTTAGTAGTTTGTCTAGTCTAGTAGAAACTTCATTTCATATTTCCAGAATTTACTTAAATAAACGAATGCACTACTATATACACGCATTCGCATGATAATAGTTTAGCTTACTTCATTTTAATTTATATGGAATATAAAACAAATAAACACAAGGAAACTTTCAAATCAAGTTAAAAAAAAAAACAAATATAACATGTACAGCACACAGAAATTCTATAAATAAAGAAATATAATGACGAGATCGTATGTTAAAATTTCAGATTGTTTAGTCTTATGAAAAAATAAGTATTTTCCAAAGTTTTCTATTTTTTGAAGTTCTGTATTAGGTACTCTCTAATAAAAATAAAATGTTAATTTAATTTGTTAGACAACTATAAGATACCTGTCAAAAGATGATAATTTAATAATTATATCGGTCTTAGATTTAATTTTTACATAATTACCTATGTGTTTAAATAAATAATTAAATTGTATTTTTGGTACACCTCTGCAAAATTGATAGTGGAATACGATTTCGTTGCTAAGTTATCTTTAAGTGCTTAGTTAAATGCGATATTACCAATTAATCACCTTCAATTAAAAATTGTTTTAGTATAGTAAGGATACCTGAGTCTGATTAAAAAGCTGTAGAATATAAAAAAAATATGGTGCTCAAAATAAGCCAAACAAAAAATACATACTGAGAAAAAAATGCAAACAGCAAATTGTAGGAACAGGAGAAATTAGGCAAAAGAAATGAAAAAAAAACAGCAGAAAATAGAAAAGAGTGGAAGATTAAGTTAATGAAAACTAACATGGTTAAAAGAAAATCCGACACGTAACAAGCTAAGAGGAAGAGGAGAAATAAATAAAAATAATCATTAAGGTGCGAAATGATATTACAGTCAGCCAAAAAACTGAATTATTGTAATCGGCTATCAAAATAAACATTTTTACAATCACTGCCTTTTTCTTAAATCAATAAATCGAAATAGATGAAGACTATCCTATTTAGGATAATGATATATATGTAAAAAATAAATTTCCGCCCACATCTAATTCCTAGAACAACTTAACATACCTGTTTTCAATATTACCTAAACGGCCTCCCTAACTGGCGAACAATTTTATAAATGAATTTGCTTTAGTGGTCAGGATAGCATTTTTACTAAAACATGCTCATTAGCCTTGTTCATGACCCCGCTCATTACAAATGTTATATCGTGTACAGCTAATTTATAACGTAATAAACAGCTATAAAAAAACAAGAAAACATTATCATTTATTAGAAAAAAAATTGATCAACAATAAATTTCTCAAGTTTTTATATTTGCTGATTAACGACCTGTACTAATTGTTAATTACATTTAAAATTTTCACAAATCCAGACTTTGTTACATATAAAAGATAGTAGTGAAACATTTTAAAAGAAAAATCGGTATGGGTTTTAAAAATATCATTATTTTTAATTACTATTAAGGTCTATTCTCATTAGACGTGCCAGGCCCGTGCTCGTCACCTGACCGGCACATGCCATGCTTTTGGTAAATATTCACACTATTCGCGCTCGTAGCATGCTTTCAGCGGTATTTTGCACAGGCAGTCGGTTATACGTGTCGATGGGTAGTTGTGCAGTTGTAATGTTTTCCACGGCAACTTTAGTAAAAATTGCATTTTTTACTTTAGATGCCAAAGAAGAAGAGAATAGATAAAGTTAAAAAAGGAGGTTTTGGATATATCCAATGATTAAGAAAAGAAAAATAGAAGGAGGATACTATACCTTGTATAAAGAACTCATGGATAATGAGTCAAAATTTTATATATATTATAGAATGTCAATTGCCGAATTTCAGCAGAATTACCAGCAGAATGCGATTTTGAACAAATTGCCAAAAAATTTTGGTTGTCGTGGAATTTTCCCAAGGGCATTAGGAGCCCTAGATGAAAAGCACATCAAAATTATAGTTCCAATCAATAGTGGTTCCAGTTACTTTAACTACAAAAAGATTTCTTCTGTAATTCTACTTGCTTTAGTAGATATGTAGTTCAACTTGCTCTAGGAAATCACGATAACCCATTTTTGCCCTTAAAAAACTTACTCCCTCCATTTTCCGAACTCAGGTCGCCTTTAAATTATTTTTTCTTTTATTTATGTCATATCATTTTTCTTTTCCAACGACTTTGACCCTACTATTATTTTTTTTTGTTTGAAATATTATCGGCAGTGGTCTATTACCTAGATAAAATATAGTGTTTTATTTACCTATTTTAATATTTTCTCCAATATCCCGCCATACCTGAGACTTATGTGCTGCATCTGCATACAGTCGATTCATAAAATCGTATAATTCAATCCTCTCACGAACTAATTCTATTAAAAATTCATCAGTATCATGTGAAAATAATTTTTTTCGCACCATTTTGCCTGTCGAAACTCGTCTGAAGTATTCACACTATGTAGGACTGTGCAAGGAATGTGCCAGGCATGGGCTAGGAAAATATTGTTTGAAAAGATTGTTCGATGCCGGGCACGGACCGTTCCCACTCCGAGCACTTGTAGTGAGAACGGACCGTCGCTAAACCCATTTAAATAACGTTAAAGTAATTTTGCACGTCTCGAGCAGGGCACATGCCGAGCACATGCCTGGCACTATAGTGAGAATAGGCCTTTAAACTGGGAATAAGCCACAATTAAAGATAAAAATACGTTTATTGACGTTTCAATTTCCACTTCGGAAATCGTTCTCAAAATACAAACAGTAAGTCCCCTGGAAACGGCTAATCCTTTCACCACCGGTTCACCAACACAGATGCAAACGCATCCAAAACAGTCTTTATCAAGGCCAATGTTGATGATTTCTTATATTAATATTAAAGGACTATCAGCAAATAAAGAAGATCTGCTCTGTAATATGTGCAGAGAACACGGTGTCGATGTCCTACTGGTTCAAGAAACCCATCGAGGTACTGCAAGCTTCAGACCAAGGATTCGAGGTATGAGACTTGTACTGGAGAGACCGACATAGTTTCCACATCTTTAACATATCGAGATGACATCGAGATCCTCACAGTAGAACTAAAGTCTTGTACAGTAACGTCCATCTACAAACCGCCAAACGCTGATTTTGTTTTTGAGGAACTGGATAATTTCCAATCACAGCAAATAAATTTTATACTGGGTGACTTCCAATTCCAATGGACACCGTTCCTCCAATGGTGAAGAACTAGAAAATTGGGCTGAAAACATCAAAAACCTCAAAATTATTCATGCACCAAAACAACCTGCGTCTTTTAACAGCGGAATATGGCGGAGAGGTTACAACCCAAACAATATATTTGTCAGCGACAGGATTGGAGACCAGGTGACAAAAATTGTTGGAAGCGCCCCCCCAAAAACACAGAACAAACCAATAACTTGCTGCGGCAATCAGATACGAAATTGTTCCTTTCAAGAGAAGGTTCAATTTCACTAAAGCAAAATGGGAAAAAATTCGCTGAAGCTTTAGATCAAGAAGTTTCCCAGCTAGAACCGTGCTCTGATTCATATGATAAATTTGTACAAATCATAAAACAAATATCACGAAAATATATTCCTAGAGATTGCCGAACCGAATACATAGCGGGGCTAAATGAAGAATCTAAACCCCTACTTAAAAGATCGAGCAGCTATATGAAGACGATTCCTTTTCAGAAGCAACAATACAGGCCGGGGAGCAAGTGCTACATGCGATATCCGCCAACAGAACGGACAGGTGGTGCAAGCTGGTCACGAGCCTAGACATGAAACAAAACACCAGACGCGCTTAGAAATTAATTCTGAATCTTGGCAACAATCCCGCCGCTCCGGCACCCAAATTGCCTGGAGGAGATGAGAGGTGCGATCCACCAAATGAAATATAATACAGCGGCTGGCCTAGACGATATACGAACAGAACAAATAAAGCACTTTGGACCAAAAACCCTAGAGTGGCTCGTAAAAAGGATTAACTGTTGCGTCCGTATATTCCAAATGCCTAAAATCTGGAGAAAAGCTAAAGTGGTGGCCCTCTTAAAACCAGGAAAGAATCCGGCGGATACAAAGTGTTCTAGACCTGTTTCTCTTTGTGTCACCTTTTCAAGGCGTTCGAAAGAATGATACTGAACCGGATCGCTGAATCTGTGGACACTACAATTATTCCTGAACAAGCAGGGTTTAGACCCGGAAAATGCTGCTGCAGTCAAACTCTTAATCTCACACAACATATTGAAGATGGGTTTGAACTCAAAGAAATAACAGGAGTAGCGTTCATAGACCTGACTGCATCCTATGACACAGTTAACGAACAACGGCTGCTGGTAAAACTCTACGAAATTACAAAGGATTTCCGACTAACAAGGTTAATGAAATGACTTAACGTAACGCTCCAGTCCAAGAACAGTCGGTGGAGGGATCAAAAAAATGGGCTCCCACAGGGAAGTGTCCTCGCGCCATTGCTATACAACATTTACACCAACGACCAACCGAAAAACCAACAAACAAGACAGTTTATTTACGCTGATGAGACAACTTTGGCAGCTCAGGGAAGTACCTTCAATGAAGTCAAAGTAAAACTGACAGATGCCCTAGAAGACTTAGCACTATACTAAGACGAAAACCATCTGTGTGTGCTTTCCCCTTAGAATCAAGCATGGCCGAAGGACACTGGAGGTTGCTGGTCACAATTTGCTGTATCCCATACAGAAACCGCTAAACAGATTAAGAACGGGTGTTTCACGTTGTGCTAGTAACCTGAAGAAATGGGTATATCGGGGGGACGATAACGGCGACTGTGGCGCGGTTCAGAATAATCATCATCTACTATCATGCACAGATATGAGAGAGTCCTGCACAGAAGAATACCTATTCTTAGCGAATGACAGAGCCATCTATGTGGCCAACGATTGGAAACACAAAATTTAAAGCTGTTCGTGTTCCGGACACGGAAAGTAAAGTAAACTTAAATTTAAAACTTAATTTTAAAGTAAAATTGTGGCTTACTGCCACCAAAAATATTAAATTGCATTAAAATGCCACAAGAAAATCGCTTCAGAACAATACCAAAAATGATCATATATAATTAAGTATGTAAGCACAGAAAGATCAGAATTTGATATCAATCTGAGGGTACAACAACACCTCTCACAATTCACTCAAAATATGAAATTTCCTGCATGAGCTTGTGCTTGTGTAAACTTAAGTCACCAAAATTAACAATTCATTTGTTTCCATTCAGTTTAAGAAGACATATTTGAAACAATTTATAAAAAAGTTGTAAAATGTCACAATTAAAAGTTTTTACATGCTTAAGAGTTTTTATAGCATGAAAACTGAAGAAAATGTTATGTCAATAACAAAAACAACAAATTCAACTTGATCTAAGATACAAGAGATGCAATACAGTGAATTTTAAGGATAGGAAATTGTTTTTTATGATAACCAGATACAAAAGTTGTAGTATAGGTAATAAATAAAAATTGAAAAAGCAGGATTTTCCCACTCGGTTGTTATAAACTAAAAAACAACACCAAATTATTTGCAGACAACATGCAGGTTTTCTCTTTATAGCTGTATATTATGTAAAAACTTGAGCTAGAAATCTGGATTATTCCCAAACATTTTATTGTATCTTATCTTTTTTGAAGTCAGTGATGATCTTTTATGTACTATTCTGATCATTTTCTTTTCTTATATTGATCCATTGTCACACTCAATTTTTTTTAAAACAGAACTTGTTTTCTGTATTATGCTGTTGCTATTAGTTCTGAAGAGCTGTTTATTTTTGAGAATCTTGGATGATTGGATTGTCCTCTTACAAATCTGGAACAGTTTCTATTTCCAGGTTTCTTGAAGTTTGAATTCTAATGTGCTTGTGTAAAAACATTACAGAGAAAAATAAATATAACTGATATATAAAATACAGAAAATTAAAGTAAAAAACACATACCAAGATTTTAAATATTCCTTACAATTACTTAAGACATTACTACCTTCATGCATTTCCACATTCTTTCAACCAAGTTGGAAACTTACCAGGTGGAAAAAATTAAATAAACATATGAAACTAGTCAAAAATTAGGCATTCCCAGATATGTAAATAATTTAAAACAAGGCCAGAT